ATCAGTCTACTCTGTGGACTCCCTGTCAGGAGGGGAGCACTCTACCTTGCAGTTCCTCCTAGGGAAGGCTTCCTGGAGGTGGTGTGGGGCTACCTGACCATAACCTCCATTCTGTGCACCATATATGCCCCATCAGAAACTCTGCACCCAGGACTCATTGACCTCATCCCCTCTGTGGCTGAGTGTGATCACTAAGCCTGGTAGGACCCTAAGTCTGGTGGGAGCAGGAGTGCCTGGATGCTGGAAGAGCAGGGGCCCTGGTAGCAGACGTCCTTTCTCTGGCATCAGACCCAGGCTGTATCTTTACTCCCAAACCTTCCTTGGACCCACAGCTTTCTGCTACTGAACTCATGATCTTAACAGGCCCCTGTACTCAGAATTTCAGAATTTTCTCTGATTCTCTGTGCTAGAGACTAAAGGTTGTCCTCCAGGATCTACCCGTCTTTCTCCTTGTTGACAGATCCTGAGCATATTCAGGGCACAGTGGGTCCATCTTATGCATGGCCTTTCCTGCCTTCCCTTGCAGCTAGCATTGGCCAAGTATATAAATTCTGGTCAATGAAATGTTAGAGACTATGAGGGCTTGTTAATAAAGGTAGCTGTCTCAGAGGACAGCTTTGCCTCCTCCTACTTTCTTCCTCCTGCTTTCTAAAATGTAGAAATGATGGCAGGAACTCTAACAGCTATTTTGGTCCATTAAGTGACCTGGGGAATAAAAGTCACACACTAGGATGGTAGAGCAGAATAAGGAGGAGCCTGGGTTCATGAGAGGCCTGGAATTGCCTGAACTGGTTTTCTTCAGGCCTCTTTTACCCCGGGTCTCTGTTAGAGTTAACTATTCCTAGTCCCACCTGGTATACCCGTCTTTCTGCTTTATGCCCCTTGCGTACCTCTTACACTCTCCTGGCTTTTCCCACAGTTTTGACCATTTCATTATGCAAATTAAATACCTTTGGTGGATCCCCATTATCTTCTAAATAAACACCAAATCCTTACCCTCACGTCCAAAACCTCTCATTGCTGGGTCTGATCTTGTCTTCCTCATCATATCTCCTGTACCTTATGACTCTGCAAAGTTGATTTCCCCTGTCCTGGATGCCCCACATCCTCTGTCCTGCCTGTCAAAACTCTACCCATCATTCAAGGCTTTTTTCAAAGTTGCTTCCTCTAGGAAGCCTTCTCAACACCTCCAGGTTAGGACGGGTGCTATCTCCTAGGTAGATTGTAGATAATAGGCTCTATCTACCTGAAATTATCTTATCTCTGAGTCTGTATCAGCTTCTTACCAGACTGCAGCCTGGGCAGGGGACTGGACTGGGTCTGTTCCTTCCAATGTTCCCTAAATGGCCTGGCACAGGTCCACAACGAGTAGGCCCTTGGTAAGTGTTGGCTTATTGAAGCGAACCTGACTTCCTATTTCTGGCTTTCCCAAGGGGCAGGGCCCATACAACTGTGCAGAGATCCCTCCTAAGGGACGGGGACTGTCCCAACTCCTGATTTTGCTCTCCTTAGCTCTCCCTCTCTGTGTCATGTGGCCACTTCTTTGGCACTGGCTGCCAGCAAGGGGGGTTGGAGCGGGTAGGGCCTGGGAGGCAGATGGACAGGTGCTGCCGCCTGGGGAAACAGAGATGTCAGGGTTGACGCGGGGAGCTGGGCCGCTCATTAGATCTGCTGAACTGCTGTCATGGGCTCCTTTCCCTTCAGTGACAGGTTCACCTCTCCCCACCTGGGTCCTGAGCGCTCGCCGCTCCCGCCCTCTCTCCTGACAGCACTGACCTATCTGGGCGCTGCTCTCACTCACTAACCCAAAGGCCACTAAGCGTCAGGGCCGTCTCCACTGAATACAAGGCCATTTGTCTTTCAGGAGGAATGGACCCTCCCTTGTGGGACAGCTTGCAGCTTACTGTCACTCTGTGGCTCTAGCTGCACACAGAGGAGCCAGGGGAGAGATGACTGGCTTGGGCCAAACTTTGTCTCGGATTTTGGGGGCTTTGAGTCCTTCCGTGCTTGCAGCAGTGGGTTCTACCTAGGCAAAGTCTCAATTAAAACAATAAATCATCACCAGAATAAAGTGTAGTGGGGCCACAGAGGGTTGAAGCCAAATTTGAATATGATAGGCCTATAAATTACAGTGACTGCCTGATGCTGCTCATTAGGGGCCCTGGGGCTGATGAGCACTCCTGCAGCCAGCTGAGCAGGTGAGTGGTTTGCGTGGCCACATTTGGGAGGATATGTGTTCTTTGGAAACTTTCTACTGTGAGTGTGGTAATATAACATGCAAAAGCACAGGCGTTGAAGTCAGCATGCCAGAGTTCAAATCCAGCTGGGCTAAGTAATAACTGAACTTGAGCATCCTGAATTTTTCTGTAACTTAGCTTCTTTATCTGTAAAATGAGCATTTATGGACCTCTCATGCAGGTTAGATCACATGGGTAAAGCCCTTGGCAGGGTTTCAAGCACTTAGTAAATGCTTTGTAAACTATGATTATCCCTTAGAATGTAAGCTCTCAGAAGACAGGGATCTTATCCACACTGACCATCTCAGCATCTCTAGTACAACAAACTGGGCCTACCAGATGCCAGATAGTAGAGTCTCAATTACTATTTATGGAATGAATAAACATGCATCTAGAAAGTGAGCTTCTGTTTTTCTATCTCCCATAAAACCTGCTATAGCACCCTGCATGCTAGATGCTTAAAAACTCATAATATGTTCAAGTACAAAGTGTCTTTGCAGTTTTGGAAGGTGTCTTATATGTAATTAAGAGCATTAAAGGATCTCAACTGAGTGATGTCTCATGAGGGTGTCTCAGTCTTCCTAAGTTTCTCCTGAGTCACCAGCTAAGTCACCTCCCCCAGAACTGGGCAACTTGACCCAACAGCTAGTGTTAGGGAAAGGTCCAGACCTGGATGGTGGGAAATCTGAGTCCTGTTCCTAAATTGTGAATGATTTTACCGTTTGGCCCTGGGTAGGTCACTCCCTGACTCTGGGCCTTAGTTTGCATGTGTGTAAGGGACGGGGCACGGTGCTTGTCCAGGTTTCTTTCAGCCTGAGCCTTATATGATTCTGATTTTAAGCTTCCAAGCTTCCCCAGGACCCATGTATGGTTTTGTACCTCTGTGCCCTTGAGCAGAGCCCCGGAGCCTCCTTTGTCTATGCGCCCCTCAGGGACAAGCAACTGCATACAAAAGCTTGGAGAGTGCAGTGGAGGCAGAGCCTTGCTCTCTCTGAGCTGAGTCTGTGGGAGAGACACACAGGGGCACTGGCGGTGCTGAAGGTGGGTTGCAGCAAGAGTTTTGTCTTCTGATCCCTTCTGACCAGGTCCTGGGGTCCCAGTATAGGAAATCCAGTCAGATCTGTTAGCCTCCTCACTTCCAAGAAGGGGTTAGTGCAGGAGCCTGGAGGGTGGGGTGTGTGGGAGGACAGGATGAAGATGCCAAGAGCCATCATGGCAATCTCATCTGTCCCAGCCATCTGCTTCCGAAAGACCATTTTCTGTACAGAGCTCTCACTGGCAAAGACCCAGCTGGAGCCCGCTGAAAACCCCTCCTCTAAACCAATATGACCAACTACACCATGGATGTGTTGTGTGCCATCTTTCAGCTCTGTCCTTACCCTGCTCCGAGAGTCTAGAAAACCAAGGACCTCTCTCTGTGGAATCCAGGACTTTGCTGCTTATGACTTCTACAGACAGGATGCCTTATTTTCTCAGGTTTCATGGAGTCACCTGCCCAAACTCTATTATTCATGCCAAAGGTTGGGTCTGTTGCTGAGTTCTCCACTCTCTCCGGTCCTGGGCCTTCTGTGTCTTGTATGATGGGGCACCTGGGGTGGACGGGGCAGGGAGTGATGGGGAGGTCCCATCCCTGAATGCCCAGGACTAATGTAAGGCTTTTCTGTGTGCCTTTGGGGTAAGTTACTTATTCCCTAAGCCTCAGTTTTATTATTGACAAAACAGAGATAGTACCAGACATGAGGTGTACACCTGTAATTCCAGAAGCTCAGGAGGCTGAGGCAGGAGATCACGAGTTCAAAGCCAACCTCAGCAACTTAGTGAGGCCCTGTCTCCATCAACAACAACAACAAGCCATGTTGAAGGTTGTGGCACAGTGCTTAAGCACCCCTGGGTTAAATCCCTGGCACCAAAACAACAACAAAAACAGAGAAAGCGATAGATAGCTTGCAGTGTCCTGTTAAGAGCAAATGAGATTATGGAGGTGAAAAGAATGTTGCAAGCTATAAAGTACTGTGTGCAAGGGGTGGCGTGTGGCACTGACACACGCTGGTGGTCCAGCCTCCTGAGGGTGGGCAGCTCCCTTTGGCATGATCCACTTCTTTCCACAGAACTTCCTGTCTCCTCCGAGCAGCTCCTCCCCTCCCCCAGAGCTCTCTGTTACAGTTTAATCCACCTAATTGAAAGACTGCTGGATCAGGCAAGGAATTTATCAAAGGAAGGAGAGGAGAGCCTGGTGCCACTTGGCTCCTTGCACACTTGTCCTTTCAAATCCTTGTAGATAATTCCATTTGTACAGTAGGAGCAAGGCTGGGATTTTGCAAGACAAGAAGGGTTGGGAGGAGGAAAGAGAAAAGAGCTGGGGAAGGGAGGGATGAAGGCCAGAGACTAGAAAAAGCTCTCGGTGCTTAAGGGTGGACTGGTCTGGGGCTCTCTCGGGCAGGACAGGCGTTGGCAGCCACAGGGAGCAGCAGGGGCAGAAGTGGGAAGGCTGAGGGGGAACTGCTGAGCAGGCGAGGGGAGGTGATGCCAAGCAGTTACAGCTGCTTTGCCTGCCAGAGACAGAGGCTCTGACTGCACTGGAGCCAGTTTTCTGACGTGCCCCGTATTGCACAGAAATCGGCATAACTCTAGGCCTCAGTCACTGTCTGAATGTATGTGCCACCCCACTCCACTCACATGCTAAAATTTAACCTCAAGGTCATAGTATTGAGGGGTGGGGCTTTTGGTGGATGATTAAGTCATGGGTGATTCAGTCTCCTGAATGGATTAGCGCCTTTATGAAAGCCGTCTGAGGGAGCTCGCTGGCCCCTTTTCCCTTGCGAGTTGCAGCATGTGGGAATGCAGTGAGAAGTTACTATCTATTAGGAAGAGATCCTCACCTATTCCAAATCTGCTGGTATCTTGATCTTGGACTTCTAGCCTACAAGACTGTGAGTCATAGATTTCTATTTTTTGTAAATTACTTAGTCTAGTGTATTTTGTTGTAGCAGCATGAATGGACTGAGATGGTACACTTCTCCAAAGTAGGAGGTGGGGAGAGGGGAAGGTGGCAGAGGCTTGACCAGAAGTTTCTCTAGGAGGATCCAGCTGAACTTGATAGAATGAAGGCAGAGCGTCCAGGGGAAGGAAGTGGGGACTACAGCACTGGAAGAGAAACAGAATGGATGGGAAGTGGCAGGGAGTAAAAGGGTGAGACCACATTGACAATATGGTGGGTGTGATCCCTAAAGAATTACGGGAGGTTATTATTAATTATATTTTCATGATGAAAAAGTAGTTGAATCTTCAGGAGTGGCAGATGAGTGGGTGTAACAGAAAAGCTGGGGCAGGCAGGGGCAGGGCAAGGGGAGTGGGCCAAGAAGGGGAAACTTTACACAGAAATTCCTCATGGGGATGTACTCATGCATTCCTGCACTCCTTGTGCCCTGGGTGGCGTGGACATACAGAGAAGTAAGGCATATCCCTGGCTCCAGGTGGGAAGGCATATGAGAACAGTGTGGCGAGTCAGTGCTGGAAAGGACTGTGAGCACTATCCTGTGGGAATCCTGGGGACACTATGATTGATCTTCTGACAATGGGGCAGGTACCAGGACAGGCTTCAGAGAGAAGGTAGCATTGCTCCTCTCGAGAGCCAAGAGATGGGTTTTTAGGGTGCTGATATAAGTTAGAACTTGTCAGAGAAAGGATTATCACAACAGCTCATCTTCATTCATATCTCCAATTCACAGAGGGTCACAGTGAGGCTCACCTAAGGTGACATAGATCATGCCTTTGATACCTCCATCCAATAATCAAGAGGACTCTCTGTTACTGGGCCCTTTTGATGAGGTTTTTTTTGTGGCAAACAAGAAAATATCAGGACCTTGGACAGGTCCAAAGGGGTCTGTGGGCGGCACATGTGTCTGATGATGTGTTGGAATTCAGGATTGTGGTCAGTAAAGTACCTTTCCAAAACCCAGGGACCTGTGGACTGGACACTACTATTTGTAAGACAATATGATTTAGGGTACAAATGAATCTGAACTCAGACCACTGGACTGGCCTGTGACTGCCATGTTTAGAGACAGGTCCTCTCAAGCAGAGGGGATTGAAAAATGTGCTTCTAGGGGTCTTCAGGGCAATTTGTCCCCATCCAAGCATAAAGACCTTGTAAATGCAAATATATTGGCTGAGAAGAGATGTATCACTGGTAAAGTATGTTTTGATGAAGGGGTGATGATTGGAAAGGTCTAGAGCAAAGACTGCTGCCCAGGAGGGATGGGCTGGAGATGTGTCAGAGTAAGGGCTGAGAGATGGAGAGTACACAGCCAGGGCTGTTTGCTATCTTTCTGGGGCTTCACAAATGCTTGGTGGCATTTGAGGGACCACAAGAGAGGGTCAAGGGCAGGTGGGGTAGGGGTGGGAATCCCTAAAGACAAACATTATAATTGTGCTTCTGGCAGAAACTCTTCTGAAGGTTAAGTTAGAAATGGAAGTCTTGGTCAGTGAATTCCCCACTCCTGAGAAATATGTAAGTGAGACAGGTCACAAAAAGACACATACCCAACAAGACATCAGGATAGTGAGGAATGGACGCACATGTGTGCAGGCATTACTAACATGCACGGGAGTATATCAAAGGGCTACATGCACTTCTGTGTCCACACATCTGCTCTTGGGCAAATCAACCTGTGTTCAGCTGCAAAATGGGAGCTCTGAAGGCTGAGAACGGTGATGATGGTAATGATGGTGATTTCGATTTCCAGCTAGCTGCCTTATATATAATTATTTTTAAAATTTAATTGATAAAACAATGCATGTTTATAATTTTAAAGTTAGCATTAAGTAAAAGCATCACAAGTCAACACTACTCCCCTCCAAATCTTTCAGTTCTTTCATCCAGAATCAACATAGCTCATATTTCTTCATAATATTTTTAGATAGTTCCTGCTGGCTTTATTAGTTTAAGGTGCCATCTTTTGACTTCTCAGTCTATGAAATTTTCACTCTTTTAAAAACTTTTCATTAGTACATTATAATTATACAAAATAATGGGGGTCATTGTGCATTATTCATACATTCATATCATATAATTTGCTCCATTTAATTCCCCAGTACTTTCCCTTTCCCTCTCCTCCTCCTCTGTCCCCATCTCCTTCCTTGTATCATATTTTAAAATTCCTCCTAAAAATCCTGAGAAGTAGAAAATATTCTTTCCATTTCTCAGGTGAGAAAACAGAGGCATAGAGAGGGTTAAACAACTTGCCTAGGTTATTCTGTGGATGGGACCAGAGCTGTGACTTCCCACGTCCAGATTTTCCAATTCCAGGTCAAGAGCCCCTTCTACTGCACCTCAAATGAAGCTGGTGATCACAGCACCCCCGAACCTATGGCCCAGAACAACTTCTCCAGGGCAGATGGAGAGTCAGACCAATGCATTCAGCAGGGTTTCTCTTAATAACACTGGCATAGTTAGAAGGCTAGATCAGTGTGTTTACAGTGACACCTCCTCTCTTAGCCATGTAGTCTTGGGCAAATCAACCTGTGTTCAGCTGCAAAATGGGAATAGCAAATTTAACCCATCAATTGTGTGGAATAAGAGGATACATGTAAATGACCTGATAGTGCACAGAATTATAGAGAATTCTGTTTACCCTGAATGTCAGAATCTGCCCTTTTCCTAGGGAAGAGAACTACCAAACGGGTAGTGCTGAGGGGCAGTGGAGTGCCCCTGCCTTGGAGGAATGTCAGCAGAGGAGAGGTAGCAAGGGGACCCTAGAAGGCCTTTGCTGATCTAGGAGGCTGACCTCTTTCAGATCCAAGGGACCTCGTCCATGGAGATGCAAGGCAGGGTCTCGTGGAGATATCCCTTCTGGTGGAGACCAGCTCCCTCAGCAGCCACAGGGCTTTCAGCAGGCAGATTGGTTTTGTGGCCAGAACTCTAGGGTAGGGCAAGAGACCCCCAGGTTCTGCTTGGGGCTCTGTCTTCAGTTCCCTGCCATCAGCAGGAAAGACACATGGCGGCTGCGTGGGCACCGGTGTGTGTGAGGTGATTACCCCTTTAATGTTTAATGTGCTGAAAAACCATTAGACCCCGAAATGGACAAGTTCTCCATTGGTAACTTTAATTATTGTTAAGACTCGGTCATGCCTGCTTATTAGCAATTATGCATGGCGTCTCCCAGGGTGCTGTGGGCCTTCTGCCTTTCCTCCCTTCTCCTGAGGAGAGCAGATTTGCAAACTGCCGCATTCATTTCTTCCTCACAAGTGGCTCCTGTTACTCTCTTCCGAGTCTGGCCTGGCTTGGGCCTGAAGAGGACTGTCTGTTCCTTCTCAGAGGGAGGAGGGGGAAGGGCAGCCCAGCATAAATTGGGAGGAGCTGAGAAGGGGTAACTGCGGTAGGATGCCCTTCACAAAACACTTCTACTTCCAGGGTCTCACTTCCTTCTATCACATCATTTCCCCCATCTTATAGATGAGGAGACCGAGGCTTGCAAAAGTTGGGTAATGGTACAGACCACTCAGAGTGCCTGCTCGGCCTCTCTTCCCTTCTTGAATCATGTACTGACACCTTGGGCCCGGACAGCCATGCCAATCCCACATGATCTCAAACCCACCTCTCCTCTCTCCATCTCTGTAGCTACCTAAACCAGGTGGGACCCCTGCCGAGCTGGAACTATTAAATTGGGACCCAGTCAATTGGATGGTGGGCCTGGGAGATGATAGAGAACAAGTAACACACCAGAGATGGACAGAGGTGGGGGAGGGGATGCGCTCTCCATCTCTCAGTTTCCAAGAGATACTCCCTTACGCCCCCGTGGCTGGCCTGGGACTAGCTTTGGAGTCCCTTCAGACTTTGGTGGCCAGCAAAGTAGGGTTCCCTCTGGAAAAATGGGGTCACCCCTCATCTCAAATCACTGGCAATGCCCCCACCCCCTGGGCACTCTTCCGCAGGGACCACTTCTTTCTCCTGCCCCCCTTTACCCAATCTAGGACGCCCTAACTGTGGGCCCCGCTAGGCAATGGCCGAGGAGAGCCAGGTGCCGGCAGCCCTGCCTCTGGCCCTGACTGTTAAGAAGGGGAGAGAAAAAACAGCAGGAAAAAAGTGAACATGAGTAATGGGCCTGGAATGAGGCGTACGAGATAACACTGAATAATAACACGTCAAAAACTACAAGATGTATTTTTTTTTATTTCCCAGTGGAGTTTCCATTGCGCTAATCCATCACTGTAGAGCAGGCAAGATTATGCTTCCCCCAAAAAACTCTGGGAGATAAATGTGAGTAAATTAGGGTTTATTATATTATTTGGGGTGATATAATTTCCAAGCGGGCCCTTATTAAATTACTTCCTCTGGTGCTGACACCTCCTGCCTCACGGTCCCTGCACCTTCGCTCCACTTTCCCTGACTGAAGCGGCTTCGTATTTTAATGTCTCCCATCAGCTGTGGGTGGGGGCGGGGCGGTGGAGAGAGCTGGAAGGAAGTGCTGAGTCACCGCCAGCCTTTGGGGACCTCCATGACCACAGCCTCAGGCCCCCACAACACCAATGCTGAAAGCCACAGGGAGAGGCCCAGTGTACACCTCATAGATGGGGAAACTGAGGCCTCAGGAAGAAATGCGACTTGTTTTAGGTCACACAACTAGGGAGGGGCAGAGTTGAGACCCATGACCTGTGTGTTGATGGCCAGGCCGGGTTTGTTCTCTGTGAGGGCTCTCTTATTGTTGGTAGGTCTTCTTGGCTTCAGGGCAGCTCCAAGTCTAACCTCGGAGGCCCATGGAGTTTAGGGGTCTTAGTCATCTAATCTGAGATCTAACCAGTGACCCGGAGGGAGGTGTGTGAAAGAAGGCCTATGATCCCACCTTGACTTGATGGAAGAAGACTGTGTGAGCTTAAGTGAGTGACTTTACCTCTCTGAGCCTTTCTAGTAAGTATACTTTGTAGCAAAAGG